ATATTTTGATTAACACTGTCATTTGATGAATGGATTATTTTTTGAAAGCAGAAAAAACCACACATCCTTTTATCTGAAAAATCAAATACTTCAAATGCATTTGGTTTCTTGGATGGTCAATTCTCTTCTGGCTTTCCTGCCTCTTTTCTCTGTTCTTATGGGGAGTTATTTCAGCTACTTCATTACTCTAGTGTAATATGCTTTAAAGTAGATTTTATGGTATTATTAAGTCCATTTGCAGTAGGACAGTAACTATCTGAGCTCATCTACAGTAACTAACCTGTACTTCTTTATATTCCTGCTTCCATGACTATTAGTATTACTTAGATTCTTCTCCTTTGAGAATGGCAATCCGTAGTTTCTCTTCTCTTTCTCTTTTTCTCTCTTTCTTTCTTTTCTATCCATACTCTTTATACACTTTTATGTTGATTTTTTTCTCTCCTTTTTTTATGCACAAGGACAAATGAGATGCCTTGCTGCACTGGCTAGATGGGAAGAGCTCAACAATCTCTGCACGGAGTATTGGGCACCTGCTGAACCAGCTGCTAGACTGGAAATGGCCCCAATGGTTTGTCTTTGGCTTCAAAATGCCTATTTATCTCATTGTGTCACTCTTGTTTGATGTTTCACTTTGCTCTACCTCATGGAGTTCTTGTAGTCTGTAGATTGTCTTGAATACCATTTCAAATTTGTGTGGCACAATTTTAAACCGAACAGTAGATCCCAACGGTTGTTCTAGTATCCATTTTGCTTAAGTAAAAAGTCAATTAGTTACATTTGTGATAGATCAAAACCAGTTTAACTAGTATCTGTTTTCATGATATTACTCTTATGGCATCTATTCTTGCTCTATTTGTTTAGTAAGTGTGTGATCTGTTAATCCAGGCTGCTAGTGCTGCTTGGAACATGGGTGAATGGGATCAGATGGAAGAGTATGTTTGTCGATTGGATGATGGAGATGAAAACAAGCTTGGAGTTTTGGGTAATACTGCCGTTACAGTGGATGGGAGCAGTATTGGGACCTTCTTCAGGGCTGTCTTATTAGTTCATAGGGGGAAGGTAAAGGTTTAGCTGTTTACTACCGAGTTTTTTATTCCTTAACAAGGAGATGCCTAATTGCTTTTCTTCTTTTAAAATATAGTATGATGAGGCACGTGAATATGTTGAAAGAGCAAGGAAATGCTTGTGTACAGAAGTGGCTGCCTTGGTTAGTTTTCTCCATCTATAAAAGTTTATTAAGTAAAAGATGAAGAAGTACTATCCAATGTTGTTTGGAAAGAATTGTCTTACCGTATATCATATTTTTTTATTGTCTATACTCTATGGCAGCATTATTGGTTCTTATGTGGTTGCCATACTTTTAATTACCAGGGGTTCATAGTAGCTATATTCCCATAGCAGAAAAATATACTTCATTAATTATAGGTGGCAAAACTCATGAGATATAGCTGTTGATTTAATGTGGCATGTATGCTTAATATGAGCTGAATGATCACATATATATGCACATATCAAGATTTAGATGGATGTTACACTTAGTATTTATCAGACGTCTGGTGGCTTTGAAATCATATATGTTTCCCTCTTGCTAGGTTCTTGAAAGCTATGAATGTGCATACAACAATATGTCCGCTTTCAGCAGCTATCAGAATTGGAGGAGGTATATGCTCTTGAGCCATTTCATCAACTTTCTACCTAAGCTTATTTTTACTTTTATTTTTT